TTTTATTAAAAAAATTAAACTTTTTAATAAAAACACAGGCAAATTTGCCTGTGTTACAATTTAAGGGATATATTATAAAAATTTTATTGGCTTACTTTTTTATTTATTTGACGTGAAGATAATACATTATTTTACTAGTCTTGATATTTACAAACAAATACGCAAATAAATGACTTTAACAAAATTTTTATATATTATCTCACAATAGAATCATTTTAATTCCAAGGCAAATAACTTTAATTATATACTATGTCACTACAATGCAGAGTATGATCAATGCACTTTATATAAATTTGTATACTTAATTATTTACAAGATTATAAGACTTACTTATAGTTCTTTAACAATGTTTTTTACACTACCTTTAATATAGACTATCTTTCTTTTAACCACTTGCAGTAGATTGCTAGAATATTGAGTACGTTTTTTAGCAGATATTTCTATGATAATTTAAAAACCATATTAAACCCATTTCAAACTGTACATTGCTAGAATAATGAGTAAGTTCTTTATAGCAAATTACAACAGAAATTATGCTAATTCCAATGCAACCAACTTACGCTTAGCCACATTACATTTTCAGAATAATAAGTAAGTTCTGTAACAAGTTATTATCTTACTTTATAATACATTGCATAATTTCAATACAACTAACTATATAACTTTTTATTGTAAATAAAATCATGCTAATCCACTGATGCAATCTGTTATATCTTTACTTATGCTCTATGTGCTATTGTAATAACAAGTAAGTTTATTAATAAAATTTTTTATCATAATTTAATTATAATTCTAATATAAACTAACTTATCTTTAACTACTTACTACACGTCACTTAAATAGCAAGTAAGTTTTATAATTCGATCAAAATCATGTTAATCCTTTTGTATACTAGCTCTCCTTAATCTCATACTATGAGTTATTAAAATATCAAGCAAGTTCTAATTCACAATAACACATACTGTGTATCAGTAAAATGACAAGTAAGAGTATTTTTTTTATTATTCCTTATGATAAAAACTATTATAATTCTAATGCAATTCTTAAACACCTACTGTGTATCATCAGAATAACAAGCAAGTTCTATAAGAGAATTTTTTATAGTAATTTATGATATAAATTACAATAATTTTACTGCAAACTCAATCTTTACTATATACATATTATATAGCGAATAGGTGTGTAACAGAATTGTTTATAAATTTGTGATAGAAATTATGATAATTTCAATACAAACTAATTTAGCTTTTTATTATTAGCAGAATAGCGAATAAGTTTTGTAGCAGAACTTTTTGATTATGGAAAATGGCAACTTCTTTCCACTTTATTCTTAGCATGCTATACTAGCAGGCCAGCCTATACTGCTAAAGTGTTTAGCTTATAAAAGTTAATTGCTGATACACTTCAGGCCGAAGAGCTAATAGGGTTGGTAATAAGCCAACAGACTATCAGTTACTATGTGAAAAAGGGTACTGTAACTCATAATAGAAATGGCAATAATTTATTTTCAATACAAACCATTCAATATTAACTATATACTTTATATCGCTAAAATAGCAATTCAAATTTTTTTTACAGTACTTTATAATAATCTTAATGCAAACTAATTTATCTTTATCTGCATGCTGTGAGTGCCAAATAGTAAGTTTTGTGCTAGACTCCCTGATAGAATGTTCCACCAGAACAATACGTAAGTTCTGTAATAGAGGTTTATAAATATTACTATTTAATTAATTTCAATTTTGTACATAAATATAAGATTCGACTCTATAAATATTAATTATGAAATTATTTTATTTTCAATACATATTAGAAGGGTATATAAACATAAGCGATTTTATTGATCTAATTGTTTAAAGCAATTTATCTAAGATTATAAATATTTACTATATCTTATTTATTTGTATTAATTTAGTTTACCGTATTTTCATAAAATAATCAGCATGCCCATATATGCTTCAAAATAACATAATCTGAAGGGCATTATGTGCTAATAAATAAGTATAGTCAAACCTCCATATAGTCACTCTCTATATAATTACAAAACCAATATAATCACAAATTTCTATTTACCAATCTTTTTACTATTTATTTCACTTCTATATAGTTACAATAATATTATAATCATTATTATGAATTTTTATTAACAGCCTATATAAATTATTCTTTATTAAGTCACATTTTAAATTAGCCAATAATATAACCAATCAGAGTGAGCCATAAATTACTACTATAAATAGCCCAGAGTATATGTATTACATTTTACCGGTTAAAGAACTTGTATTTTTCTTGTTAATAAAATACCCCGATCACTATATCTACAAGCAGAAACGAAGTTACATAATCAAAAAACCTGGGTCTTAACTCCAGATATAATAGTGGGGTCCATTAAGGGGCATTTTATATAGCCATTTCGGTAACAGGTACGTATATACATACCAGTACTACAGTATATGCATGCACTTTACTAGGTGATAACCTTCCTAAATAATATTTTCGAAAAAGTTAAGTTTGCAGTCGTTATCGCTCTGACTATATGCTCAACATTCATTATCGATATCAAAAATTTTGGTTAATATTTTTTGAACTAGGTTTTTTTATTTTATTTTATTTTTTTTTACCTAGTGAAATTTACAGTTACGAATACGCTCGACTCTTCAGAAAATATTTATTACTCAGTAGGTTTTAGAGCATATTTTTTTACAAGTTTAATATGCAAAGGTAGAAATATTATATTAACCTTTTTGTTCTAAAAAAAAAATTTTTTTTCTAACTAAGGTAATCTATAACACCTAAATTATAACCGCTTCAACAATTAAAGACCAAAAAAGGACAATATTGAAAGTTGCTTCTTATTTTTAGTCTTTTCATAATGCCATTCTTTAAGTTTTTTTCTTAGCATCATTAGTTCATTCTCTTTGAACACCTTTTCGATTTCAAGACTTTCTTGATATCTAATAACTTTTTCTAATGCTTCTGTAGCTTCGGCAATAGTTATTGGAGGAGGAGGAGAAAGATCTTCTTCATCATTGTCTTTAGTTTCTTCAGCTTCTTCATCGAACTCATAATTCATCATTTCAATGATACTTATATCCATTAATGCATCCTCAGTTATAGCTAGTTGATTGATTAGGTTAGTATATTCTTCAATATTGCTTATTAATTCACGAACTTCTGAACTAGTCTTAACTATAAGATCTTCAACTAGTATATCAATATCATCATCATTTTCAAAAATCATATTTTCAGATTCGTTTTCTGGCCTACTTTCTTCTTGTCACTTTCTTCTAATTTGCTTACTTCTGGCATAATTCCAGTGGCCTTCTAGCAATTTTTTATAGTAGCATTACTAACTTCACTCCACGTATCAGAAATAAAGTTGATAGCTTGTCATATAGTAAGTTTTTTATATTTACAAAAAGTTAGTACAAAGAATAATAAAAATAACCCAAAATTTTTACCTTTGTTCCTCATTATTTTCAAATTGTGAGAGCAAGTAATGACAATAAAGTCTTTTATACTTCAACTTAAAGCACCTTATTACACTAGCATCCATAGGTTGAATGTGGGCGGTCATATTAGGCGAAAGGAAGTGCATAGTGATATTTGTAAGGTAAGAGTAATCTGGGACCTTTTTTCGAGATTCTTCTCGAGACCTTCCTCGTGGCCTTCCTCAAAACCTTTCTCGGGACCTTCCTCTAAACCTTCCTTGAAACCTTCCCTCAGAACTTCCTTGAAAGTCTGATTCTGGTTCTTTGGGTTCTTCAGAGTCTTCAGGCTCTTCAGAATTTTCAGATTCTTTGGGCTCTTCAGGTTTTTCAGGCTCTTTATTATCATGGTTTTCCTTTGATGATATGTGAGAAGGTGCATTATTGACCAGAAGCAAAACCTTCCTATTTTGGATACGAAAGCTAGCATCAATAAACTCCAACCATTCTTTCTATATATTACTTCACATCCATGCTTTTTTGTTGTCTCGATAATCAACTGGTAATTGTGATATATTTACTTTATTAAAAGATCGTGGTTTTTTAGAGGAACCGATGCCAATGGGCGAAATTTGTGAGAACCAGTCGAATTGGAACAAAATAATATGGTTACCCTTGATTTGTTCTAAAAGAAATTTGTAGCATTTAAAATTTTGATTTTCCTTTTTTTTTTTTTTTTTTTTTAATCTAATCTTTTTTTTCTAGCTATTGCTTTGTTAGAAATAGTTTGATTTGGAAGTAACCGGTAGAAAAGGCCCATTTCGTCGGTGTTATATATATCTTCTGGATTATATTAGAAAAGAAGCTCTTGTAATTTGACATACTCTATAGGTAGGTTTTCTAAGGGAGCACTTGCCGCCTCACCATGTAGTACTATTTTTTTTAATCTATTTCGTTTTTTAAACTTAGTGATCTATCTATTTAAAAATACAAGAGATTCTTCAGGTATTCCAAATTCATTTGCAAAACGTTGGCCTTTTTCCTTTATTATTAAATTTGATATAATTATTCTATTGGCTATGACCTGCTCCACCCATATATTCATAACAAGCTCTAACTTCGGATGCTTTACTGAATGATGACGAAATGTTCTCTCAGCTTGTTCACTATTTTTTATTTGATCATACTCATCAGCATAGTTTAGTATTTTTGTTACAGTAGAACGATTAATATTTAAGTTTGGATAATATTTTATAAACTCTTGTGCTATTTCTTAATACCGATATAATAGATTTTTTTTTGCGATTTTACATATTTTTTTTTTTTGCATGTCACTAATGCAACTACATGTTTTTTTAGGCACTGATTAAGAAGGTATAATACCCAAACCGAATCGTTGAAAAGTTATACAATATAAGTTGATGCAATACTTAAGGCTTTATAAATCTTTTTATTTTACAGATGCCATCTATTAATTTGTGACAAATATAAGGGGCTAAACGTGAGAATATGTATTTAAATTGTTAAAACTTTATACAGAATAGTAAGTCGGATGCATAATTAACAATTACATATTGGCGCTGTTTAATAAAAAAAGAGTGAAATCTCTTTTTAAATTGACCATATTTAAAAAGAGATTTCTCACCTTTTCTATTGAATAGCACCCATCTTTAGTAGGTAAAGTACCTTGATTTATCTACAAATATGAATATTTACTAAAGATTAATGATATCTTATATGTGTAGGTATATATGCGGATGAGTTGTTTTAGCAGTATGATTATATCTCCTGTTTCGGGTTTAATCAGGATACTTTACATATGTAGGTATTGATCATGAAAGTTTATCAATTATTAATTGAACATCGAATTGGCAAATTTTGATTTGATTAAAAGGATCTCTGAATTTAAAGTATTGAAGGATTGAGATAAACGACACAGTTATATTTAATTGTATTACGAAAAATTAGACTATATTATTGGGTAACTATATATTAAAATATTAGCATTATAAATAGTTAGCCAATGTTGTTATACTGTTTAATATGAGCGAATTTGTTTAATACAGCTTTTAAATTTGAAATACTGTATGATCAGATTATTTATCTCGATTTTGACTAATTTATTCATCTTTTTGTTGCAGAGTTTTATGCGTTTATACCTTTTTAATTGGTAACCTGTATTGATTAACATTAATTGACGCTAATTTTTAATATTTTATTAGATAACAATAAGTTCTCATGTAATTTCATATAAACCGATTTAAATAGAATTTGGGCTTGTTGTAGCAGAAGGGTTTGACTATTTATGGTGGTTTTTGATATCATGCCCGATCAATATTGCTATATACGGATATGCAGTATAATAATTATTTAGATGTGCTATTTTATTTAATTCTATATAGTGTTATAGAACGAATTTATTATTAGTTTATTATTTTATTATTTATTATTTATCAATTATTATCTTAGAATATTATTATTATTATCTTGTATTAT